GTAGAGCCTTTTCACAGAACAGTGATTTACAAATACATCAGAAAACACATACTAGAGAGATATCCTATGAATGTAATCAATGTGGTAAAGCCTTTTCACATGTCAGTAGTCTCCAAAAATGTAAAAGAACACACACTGGAGAGAGACCCTATGTATGTAGTCAGTGTAGTAAAACCTTTTCAAAATGCTGTAAGCTCCAAATACATAAAAGAATATATACCGGAGAGAAACATTACTGTAGGGGGAAATGCTGACCACCTCTCTTGGGGTTTGCACAGGTGCCCTGTCCATGGCTGCTTGGGCATGGTCAGAGTGACGTAACAAGGGTTTAAGAGTGAGGGAGACGCTCACTCAATCCTCTTTTTCACCTCCCACCTTGCTGAGTGGACGACCAGGCATCCAGCGAAAACCTGGTCACTGGCTTTGTTGCATGAGTACTTTCTTTTTTTGTTTGTTCAATTGTTTTTTGAGACAGGGTTTCTCCAAGTAGCTTCGAACTCACAGAGATCTGCCTGACTCTACCTCCCGAGTGTTAGGAATAAAGTCCTGTACCACCAATGCCTGGCACATCGCATGAGTAGTTTCTTAAACTATCTGTTATCAATCTAGTTCTTCCCCCACTTTTATCAGCTTTAACTAGGGTCAGGTGTTTTGAATCTGAACCCACGGGTGGGTGGTGACCTTTGGCAAGAGCCTGCTGCATTAGCACCCGGGTAACCTTTCACCTTTTCCTCCCACGCCCCTTGCCAAGAAACACCTGTGAACTCTACTTGCCACAGAGTATTTCGGGAACCATCCACTCCCACTGCAAGGAAGCCACCTGGGGTTTTCATTTCTCCCCGTCAGTCTCCCAGACCAAGTGAGGTTTCTGCCCCATGGATTCTGCGGGTTTCCCTATGCAAGGCTCCTCCCCTTCCATGTTAGTCATTGTGACCTCCTTAGGCACTGCACAGTGTGCAGTCACATAGCGTCGGATACCCTTCAGTACCCGGAACCGGTACTGTTCAAGGCTGAGACCGGCTATGGCCCTACAATTTTTCCAAAGCTTTTTCTGCTAAAATAGCCAATCCCTTCTGTCCATTCCAACTCATTTGGGAAAGTGTTAAGATATATTTCAGATAGTCCTGAGACCAACTCAAGCCACTGGAAGGTGAATATGGCTCTCTTCAGAATGCAATGCCCCCGAGCCTTTTTTCACTGTCCTCCTGGCTGTTTTCATCTCCAAACACAACTCTGCTGCTTGTGGCCCACCAGGTGAATCAGAGGCAGGGCTGACAAAGAAGTGTTTTACTGGGTGGAGTCTGGACTGAGGTGACCCCAGGTGTTGCCCATACTTGGCACCTGGAGGTCAGGGGGCGGGGGCCGGGCTTGGTGGGATAGAGTTACAAAACATTCCAACCTCTTTGTATAGATATAGAAGTCAGGAGGGCTTCTGCCTAAACAACCCAGACTCCCTGGGTATAGGGGCTTCAGTTTAAGTCTGGCTTCTTCCTGCTTACAGGGTACAATGTGTGGAGTTGGGGGC